CGCCGGTGCCGGCAGGTAAGCGACCAGAGATGAAGAGGCTGCAGAGGCGAGAAGAAGAAATTTCGGAGAAATTAGAACCTAGGGTATAGATTTTCATATGGCGTGTATCCTGATGAGTATTCTGAATCCGACTATACTTTTCACATTATGGGCTGGACCAGCCCATCACTAGGCATGGGTGGGTTAATGTGACAAAATGACCTTTTTGTTGTAAAAGTCTTTGAGAGGAGCCCACTAACTATTTATTTGAAGACTTTGGACAAAGTTTGTCTGCCAATTCCTTCCCTAAACATTCACATGTTTGGAAATTGCACATCCACGGGAAGCTTGTCTGCCTAGTGTGATATTTTCTGCTATTTGCTTTGGCAAACTATTTACTTTCATCTTGCATTCCATATTTAAACAGCTGTTGATTGCATCAGTCAGATTTTCCCAACAAAAATGCATAAAACCAAATTCTTATAGAAAGAAAAACCAAAATCAACCAATCAGGTCCAGAAACTTCTGACAAACCCATTAAACAGAATTTCCAGCATAGAGAAAAACATATAATACAATCAACCCATTATACATATTGAATCATAATTAAGCGAATAAAACAATTACAGAAACTTGTGCCAGATTGAGGGATGGACGGAGGTTAAGAAATAACCCTAATCCTAAATGATTTGACGGGAAATTTAAAACCCAACCCACTGATAACTATGCAGGCAAACAAATTACAAAAACTTGGAATGGACGGAGGGTAAGAAATAACCCTAATCCTAAATGATTTGACGGGAAATTTAAAACCAAACCCACTGAGAACTATGCAGGCTTACCTTGAAAGTACGTGCCCGAGAATTAAAGAAGACGACTATGATCTCTGAGGCCTCTCTCTCTCCCACTTCTCTTTGGTGAACGCGGCTTTCTTTCTGTGGGTTTGAGAGCTGAAGGAGCTTGAGTTTGGAAAGGAAGCGAACTAATATATAGGCGTGTATCCGGATGAGTTTTCTGAGCACGACTGCACTTTTCACATTATGGGCTCGTCCGGCCCATCACTAGGCATGGGCGGGTTAATGTGACAAAATGACCTATTTGTTGTAAAAGTCTTTGAGAGGAACCCACTAACTATTTATTTGAAGACTTTGGACAAAGTTTGTCTGCCGATTCCTTCCCTGGACATTCACATGTTTTTAAAGATATCCATCCTCTCTTAGAAACACACCTTCAAAACATAAGAACCCTACAGAGTGTAGAAGGCGTTCTTTTGAGCTTTCATCAATGGCAGGTATGCACTAGTACTATTATGATTAATATTTTTATTTGATTCAAATGAAAGATTTCTTTTAACTGATTTTGGAGCATTTGCCCAAAGTCCACTTATTTGAACATCCTTTCCATTTTTTTCTTAACACATATATAAGATTGGAATCGAGATCAAGCTGAACAACTGCACAAGGAGTGGAGGGCAAGAACAACGTGGCTCTGGAAATCAAGATGAAAGCACCCAGACGTTCAACAGTACTGGGAATGCAATCTTCTCACATGATAGCACAGAGTCTGGGATATACGGATTCGGGAATGGAGCGTCGGGTGCAAACTTCAACACTGATGACAATTTTATTTTTTCAAACAGAAGCCATCGTTCTGGGATTTCCGGCTTTGGCAACATGAACAACGAAAAGTCAACCATCTTATTTCTTCTTGTTCTTGTTATTGTTATTGTTCTTGTTCTTCTTCTTTTACTCTTTTTATATAATTTTAAGGTGAGTAAGCAAAACTAAATAAGATGAAGCAAGCGGCTCTAGTGAAAAACAAGGCACGACCAGGAAGAAAAAAAGAGAAAGTATGGAGAGGCTTGGTTTGGAGTTTCCTTTCTCTGAATGTGAATCTTATTTCTCTTATATTTCTGTATTTCTTGTTCTTCTTCTTCTACATGTCATAAGTATATTATTAATGCTGAGTAAGTATTATGTCTTCTTGTCCACAAGTACTATTTTGTTTCATGTCAATGAAGAACCATGGTTTTGAGCAACCGAGATAAAGGTTTTTATTAATTCATGTAAGAACATCAGTAGTGTAATTATAAAAGGAAAAGGTGTAGGCATGTTACGGTACCTTACCTGCATTGCTTGAATAGAAACCCAATCAACGAAAGTGGATAAGCCACAAATTGTAGCCATCATATGCGTTTTCGTTCGATTAATGATTGATATCTTGAAATGTATATGAATCACATGTATATTTCCATATTGATATCTTGAAAGTCATTTCTAGTACCATAATGAAAAAAAACAAAAACAAAAAAGAAAGTTGCGAATCTCTGCAAAGAATTCTTGTTCATTCTAAGAAATATCCGCATGTTAACTAACCTAAAAAGAGTTTATGGCTTGCTTTGGGCACTTGGGTACTTATGATATCTTAGGGATCAATGGAATTTCTCTCCTAATTATCTCCTCAAATCAAATCAAAATTGTACGGAAACCATCAGGTTTAAACACACATGAACCAAAGTTATTCCACCGACCTTGAGAACGTAATAGCGTGAGCAGGAAGCTCAGTATAGTCAGCCAACCTTGAGAATTTGCCATCAACAAACTCTCTAGATAACTTTATAAACTAAATCGACATATAGGAGCTCCTTTAGCCTATTAGACAATCATATCATAATCCCTAAGCACCGGGACCAATATTCTAGTGCTGGAGTATGAGAGGCGGAGGCGGGGGCTGGGGCAGGGTGGGGACCTGCATTTTAACAAAAATTGGCCGTCACACGCATCACCCATTAGACAAGCAACCAGTGACGGAGCCAGAAACTTTGACAGGGGAGGCACCTCAAATATTGAAAAATATTTTTCTTACAGTGACATTTGAACTACTTTTTTACTTGATACAAAATTCCAAAATTTGATTATTATACTTTATTATTTTACATATCACATTCACTATTTATTTATCATTAATACTAGCAAAAAATATTGACTCAAATTAAATGTACTTTGTTAGATATATAAAGATTTGTAATTGTGTTGAGAAAACAAAGGTCTCAAGAAAGTTGAGAGGGGGGCATAGGATCCCCCAAGGCCCTAGCTCCCTCTCCGTCCCGGACTATATCCTGCTATATAATCCAACTCACCAAATGGATATGGTAGAAGAACGAATGTCCGAACATATCACATGGTACAAGGTATTAAACTCTAAGCAATGACAAGAAGAATATTATTACATAAAAAGAGGCCTACAGTTCTGCGTGATTGACCTTTGGGTTTGAGACTAGCGACATGGTTGGTAATGTTGTTGCAATTTACCGCAAAACACAAAAAATGTCCACTTTGCATGACTTCAATTCTAGTAGTGGAATAAAACCTCCACTTGATCGTCTTATGGCATCTGTTACTAATTAGCAATTTTCTTAACATGAGTTTATAATTATATTTTCAATGCTTTTAATGAAATTTTATTTTATATCCTAATTAAAACATGAAAGTCCATTGTGTTTTTCAGAATCATCAGGGTTGGAAGAATCCCTAATATTCCGATTATTCATTGGTGACTTATCCCAAATATTCCTTGTATACAAACAAAGTAATTAAAACTTCCGGACAAAATCACATCCGCAGCATGTCAAAAACAGAATATACAATGAGACCTGTGATGGAGAATAGAAAGTTTTACTCATGTACGCTGTCTAATAGGTTTTACAATAACTACAAAGAGTTTATACAAATGCGGAGGAGTCCAATGGCAACATCAAATTCCCATATGGTATATCCACACATGGCTACAGAAATTCTGGAATTAATATCTTAAGCCGAAAAAATCCAATAATCTACTTATAATACTCTCGCAGTTGTATTTGATGTTGCGAAAGTCTTGTATCCCAACTCTTCGGCAATTAACTGCTATAATAGTATTTTCCTTAATGTTGTGACTGATACCTTTGGGTTTCAAGAAGCCACCTTGACCTTGGTCGGCATTGATGTAGACGTTGTGAAAGTTGAACATCCCAACATTTGAGGATCCATTGCGTGCTGTAATTGTATTTTTAGAAATTATGAATTGGTTGGTGCTGCCGCCATCTTCAGTATTAGTTGTCTTCAAGTTGCCTTCGAAGTTGCTGAAGTTGCTGAAGTTGCGATACGCTTCCGGAAATTCATCTCCTTTAATGTTATTGCAACTAATGTTGAGATCGTCACCTTTGGGTTTCTTTCCTCCACCGCCACCTAGGCCTTGGGCGGAACTCGAGCCCCCTGCTGCTTTGCCGTGATCTTTAGTACTAGTAGCCTTGTAGTTGCAGTTGATGTTGGTGTTGCCAAAGTTTCTGTAGAAAAGGTTTATTTTCTCATATTTATCAATGATACATGGATACAATATTTATACAGTAATGACTAGAGTAACAGCCCTATACTAATGACAGAGTAAATTACATAATTAATTACATAACTGAAAACTGTTACAGAGCATATTGAATGGGTCTCATTGATTTGGTGATTACTGGTGTAACTCCCTAACATTCCCCCGCAAACTTGACGCCGGGGAGGTGACAAGGTTGGAAACGAGACGCTGGAACCGATCCGTGGGTAAGCCTTTGGTGAAAACGTCAGCCAGTTGTTGTGTGGAAGGAATAAATTGAACTTGATGACTGCCACTGGCAATGCGTTCGCGAACAAAGTGATAATCAAGGCCAATATGTTTGGTGCGGGAATGAAAGACCGGATTAGCAGCCATGTAAGTAGTGGAAAGATTATCACAATTAAGGAGAACCGGACGAGGGAGAGGATACCGAAGTTCACGTAACAGGCCTTGGATCCAAATAGTATCAGCACATGCATAAGCTAGAGCACGGTATTCGGCTTCGGCACTAGAGCGAGAGACGGTACGTTGTTTCTTGGCACTCCATGAAATGAGATTGGGCCCCAAAAATATACAATACCCTGTAGTGGAGCGACGGGTGTCTGGACACCCTGCCCAATCGGCATCAGAATATGCAATGAGGAGTGAAGGATTAGCGGAACGGTAAAGGGATAAACCATGACCAAGAGTGCCTTTGAGATAACGAAGTATGCGCTTCACAGCTTCCAAATGTGTATCACTAGGAGAACTCATGAATTGAGAAACATGTTGAACGGCGTAGGCTATATCAGGTCGAGTGATGGTAAGATATTGAAGAGCACCGACGATTTGGCGATAATGAGTTGGATCAGCAAGGGGAGACCCATCAGTGCGAGAGGCGGAGGTTCGTGAGGCCATGGGAGTGGAGACGGGTTTACACTCTAGAAGATTACTTTTCCGAAGAAGATCGAGAGTATATTTATTTTGTGTAAGGTGAACAGAATCTTTCAAATGGGACACTTCGATGCCAATGAAATAATTAATCGAGCCAAGATCAGTAACCTCAAATTCAGCAACAAGAGTAGTGATAAAAGCAGAGAGTTGAGAGGGCGTATTTCCAGTAAGTACGATATCGTCAACATAGAGGAGTAAAATCA